GGTGTATTCCAGCAATGAACAGACCACAGCACTTTCCTTATGGGCTTAAACCTGAGGTTCTCAGCCTTGTCACTGTTAACACCTGGGGCTGGACAGTTCTCTGCTGTGGGGGTGCCACCTTGCGCGTTACAGAGCACTGAGAAGCATCCCACTAGATGCTAGTAGCAAATCCTTTTCATGACAGTTTGACAACCAAAAATGTGCCCAGACATTGCCAAATGTTGGGGGCAGTGGTGCCAATTGCTGCCCCGCTCATCTCTAATCTGAAGCAGCTGGGCAAAGCATCCTAACCTTGGGGGAGGGGAGAATTAGCAGGAAAAGTAGATCAATGACAATAAATTAGGAAGAGTTTCAAGAGTATTCATCTGCAGATGGATGGTAGTGATGGGGGCACAACAATGTGAATATACGAATGCCACTGAACTGTACACGTAAACACGTAAACACAGTGAAAATGTTGAATCGTTACATGTATCTTACCACAATGTTTTTTTTACACTTTGAGTCTTTAGACAAGATCACTAATTATGGTGGTAGCAATATTACCAGTAGATAATAATATGCAATATTATACTTTGTTAAAACATTTTGTGTATGTACAATATAACCACAATAACTGAGTAATTGAAAGTAAGGCAAAGATAAAAAGAAAAATTATTAGGAGACCCATAAACCAGTATTATGATAAATAAGAACTAAAATGTCCAGCTAAAAGAAGTAGTAATCAAGCTCTACCTCTAATAAGAAGCTTTGCTGGTTCCAGAAGGGTATCCTCAAACACTGCTCGCTCTCTGGTTTCACCAGATGTGTGCACAGCAGCAATTTAAGCTGCATTGAATTGACAAGAGCTCTGCGTTCTCAAGGTGGATGAGTCTGAGTGCACCAGTGTGCAAGGACAATAGTCCTAGTGGTTCTGTGAGACTCCAGCTTCTTGACAGAAGGAACCACGTTTGATAGGTCCTTGTAATAATGTCTAGATATGTTCAGTACCATCCTTAGGCCTGAGCAAGAGGGAGCTCTTCCCTGGCCCTGTGTTGCAGAGGGCTTTAAATATCACAAGATATAAGCTTAGTAAAGAACACATGGTGTGCCTCTGTCCTTGGGATCAACATCCATGACCTGCAGTGCTCACCACCACTCTGGTGACTAACACCTTCAGACTCCAGAGAAATGCTTCTCCACACCTTGTCCTGTGTTCTTGAAATAAGACAAGGTGCCCAGTTGCCTTGAAGTTTCATGGGTTGTAACACTGCCAGTACGGGAGAAATGGTGCTTTGGAGTATAGGGAAGAATCAGGTAGCAAAGATGGTTAGGTAAGAGGAAAGAAAAACTCATTATCCTTCCTTTCAGACAGCACATACAAAAGATTCTTACATGATGGATTATTATTTTCTAGTTGGGCCAAGGGTCCAAGTCCTTGCTTCTCCACATGCCCTTGCCATGGTTCCAGGGGTACTAAGTTTTTGCAAAGAGAAACGCTTTGCAATACTGCACAATTCATATTACTCTGATGTGTTTACACATATGTGCAGGTATAACATGCCCAAACCAAGATAGTGATTCTGTATATTGGCAGCTTGATAGAGATTGAATAGAACTGCAACTATCTTTATTTTTAAAATATTAAATGTTTAAAAAAATTCAAATTAAAAATATGAGATTTAAATAACTTGATAAAATATGCTTTATTTAAACAGATGGAGGGTTACATTCTCTTGCCCCAGCCCTCCAAATGTTAGGGTGGGCTTGGAAATACTGAGGCAGTACAGTGTGTTACTCTGAAAAGCTCACGTGCTCCCGTCTTCCTCTCACTCATGCTAAGTCAGGGCCTTGCCCAGAGGGAGTACTCACCATCAAGGTGGATAATAGATACTAGATACAAGCTCAGTTGGAAAATTAAATTTTAAATCATGGAAACAAGGATAGTTTTCCCTGCCACTAGAGGGCACGAGTCAAGCAGTCAGAAAGGGAGGTTGGGCCAGGAGAGAAGGCCTGGCCTGCACAGAGCTCTACTCCAGGCAGAGCATGCGGAAGCCACCTCATCACCAAAGTCTGCATCCCCTGAAAGCCTGATCCATTCTAAAAATAGTCTGGTGCTCAGAGTTGGCACACCTAGATACCTTGTACCCATTACGGCTTTGGGGAGAAAAAGGTCTAAGATGCTATTCCCCCAGGACGTTTACCATCTTACTGACTTCAATATGAAACATCTTACATATGCCAGGTGAAATAAGCCAGAAACGAAAGGACAAATACGGTATCATTCCACTTCTATGAGGTACCTGGGACAGTCAAACTCATAAAGACAGAAAGTAGAACGGAGGTTTCCAGGTGCTGTGGGGAGGAGAAGAGACTGTGAAGTTTCAGGTGAAGAAGAAGAGTTCTGAAGGAGGATAGTGGTGATGGTTGCACAACAATGTGAATTTTGTTGTACTCAGTTGCTGCTAACTGCCACTGAATTTTACACTTAAAAACGATTAGCATGGTAAATTTTATGCCACATATATTTTACCACAATAGAAATGAATGAATAAGCAAAAGCAACAGTGAAAAACCCTTTTAGAGGCACAGACAGAAGCTTGACTTTGAAGAGAGGACAAGTTTGCAGGTCGGTGGAAGGTCCTATCACAAGTCAGAGGTTAGGAATATCATTGTCTTCCTGGAAGAGAATCTAACTGATGTTAATCCTTTGCTGATGCAGTGAAACCCACACTATTGAGCTTCAGGGGGTGGGAGGATGCCTGAGGTTAGAAGAGGCTGCTGGGGCAGATTTTCCAGCCAGCATAGTATACCACAGATAATTTCAGCTTCGGAGGAGACTCTCTGCAAGCATTCAAAGTCTGGCCACGTAATTTCTGTGCTCTTGCCTCTAGTCTACAGCTCCGCCATGTCACTCATAATGACAGCTCAGAGCCAGCTGTGGACAAGCCACTGCCCATGAGCAACCTGGACAGACTCAGACATTCAGAGCCCATTATTCCTCGAGAGCTGCTAATCTCCAGTCCCAGGCTTCTCTTCCAATTACATGCTGCCTGGCCTTGTAGCAGGGGAAGAAGGCGATGGGGTCTGGGCAGCTGCCAGGATTAGTCATGCAGGGCCAAGCTCGTTTTCAGCAGGGGAGGTGAGCATCTGCTCTGTTTTAGCAACATGGCAGATCATTCCTCACTACCTCGGTACAACTTTTTAAAAATACCCAGCCACTTGAAAAGATCAACTGAAATTGAAATCTGCTGGAGTATAGTAGAAGACACACCATTCAAGTGGGTGGACTAATTTCTTTTTTTTTTTTCCTGGACGTGGGGTGGGAAGTTATTCAACATGGTAAACATAATTCCATCTGTCGGGAGTCGTGCTTCTCATTTCAACACCAAGAGGCGGCTAGTGAAGGCTGCCTACTAGAAGAGGGACGTAAGGGGTGCACACCTTGGTACAGACGTTTTCTAACAAGCTCATGTTCCAGGCTTACCAAGTGGTATGCTTAAGCTGTTACAAAACAGAAGTTAGTGGTGGGATGTTCAAGCAACAAGTTAATCACCAGCCACCTAGAAAAGGAGACAAGACTGAGAATAGGCAGGAAATGATCAAAGGACAGAGGATATGTACACATTCTTAGTGCTGTTGGCATTCAGAGAGGAAAGTCACTCCATCCCAAACCTTTTCTCCAAGCAATGTCTGTGCTGCAGCCCAAACTCAATCTGTCCCACAGCCGACTCTAAATTTGTTACCAACTACTTTGTTCCAAACCTATTTTTCTCCCAGTCATCTCCCACACCATAAAGCCTGCGGGAAGTACCTCTCTCTGCATCCTCAGCCTGAACCCAACTGTCCCCTTCCCTGATAGCTCCCAGATGCACTGGCCTCCTTTCCGTTCCTGGAACACAAGGTCTCAGGGCTTTGGAACACATAGCTCCTGCTGGGACTCTATACTCTTGATCACCACACCCCCGAATCTTCCACGGCCAGCTCCCTCTCAAAACCCCCTCTTCTCCTCAGTAGGAGTCCCAGTTACTCCAGGGACTGAGGCAAGAAGAGGATCACTTGAGCCCAAGAGTTTGAGGCTCACCTGGGCAACACAGCGAAACCCCATCTTTTGAAAAATAAAGAGTAGGTTCCTTTTCTCTCCATACTTTATGCACTCGCTTCCATGCCTACTGCCATTTATTACTACACTTGGTCTTACTCTTGTGTTCATTTCACTGCCCCGCTTTATCACTGAGCTACCTGAAACAGCAGGGCCACAACTGCTCACCCATCTGCCCCCTAGGACCTGGCACAGCATATAGGGTGAATATCCATTATTTGTGAAATGTACCAGTTGCAGAGGCAATGGTCACAAAAGGCTCATAAGAAGGGAAACTAAATCAGACATTTTGGGAGGAATAGAATTTCATAGTTACTACCTTGTCTTCCATTTGAAAGAAACAGCCTGAAGGTCAAATAATAAAAAATGCTCACTACAGCAGCTAACCACATACAGGGCACTTACGTGCCAGGTACTATTTTAAGTGCCTGCCACATATTAACCCATCTTATTCTCAAAACAGCCCTAGATTAACTATCACTCCCATTTTACAGATGAAGTAACAGACACAGAAAGATTGTAAACTGATGTAAGATCACAAAGCTAGTGATGGCTGAGCCAGGATCCCAACCCAGGCAGGTCGGCTCCAACCACTGAACCCTGCAGGAACCCTTGTAGCTCCTCTCCCTCGCCTCCTAGTGAGGCCTCAACCTCCTGTTCCCCTCACCCCACTGAGAAGACTCCTGCCTTGGTCACCAATGGCCTCTCAGCTGCTAACCCCAATAAGCACTTATTTTTTTCTGTGACATGCGTAGATCGGCTTCCAGGCTTAGTACTTTCACATATATTAATAGCAACAGGAAAGAATCTAAGGGCTCAGGCGCTCCAATGTCCAGGAAAAACACCAGCTCACAATGTACTATCTACCTCCTGTTCCTCACACACCTGAGCTCCCCACCCACCACAGACTCACTCCTACCGTTTCATCCTCCAGTCTGAGCTGCAGGCTCTTGTCTCCTTCTTTGTAGTCCTTGGTTAACTCAGCGGAGCGCCACACTTCATCAGGGTCAGGGATCCAGACCCTCGTGCACTGAAAGATTAAAACAGAAGAAACTTAGATACAGAATAAAGCTTTCAGGTTTCTAAATGTGTGTCACTACCTAGAAAAGGCCCATCAGGAGAACATCTAAAGCTATCTGCACACATCTCCCCACCTTCTCATTTCAGGACACAATGTGATCTGATACCACGATAACTGGGGAATAACTCACAGGACTGGTGGCAGAGGACACATTTTAGATGTCCAAAGAATGTCACAGATCAATGAAATTAAAATTCTATCCAAGAGACGGCTGAGCCTGCATTTGGTTATATACACTAGACATCGCACCATTATCTCAAAGGGTGTTACAAAATAGTGAAGTCAGAGGGAGTTATTTAGCAGTCTACAAACAAAACAACACAGGCAAAAGCCAAGATGGTATAGCACATCTTCAGAGCCTGGGAATCTCTGCTCTGATATTCTGCATTCAGAGACAAAGTCATTTTCCTGCAGAAGTGAAAGAAAGTGGTCAGCAAGTGGAAAGTATATTTAAGTATCATCAAGTTGTCAGCCACCTCAATTTATTTATCCACTATTTTTCTTTTTTTCAAATGGGAACCGAGGCGGGGTTCTCAGTTACCCAGGCTAGCACGCAGTGGTGTGACCACAGGTCACTGCAGCCTCCAACTCCTGGCCTCAAGTGATCTTCTCGTCTCAGCCTCCCAAAGTGCTGGGATGACAGAAAGGAGCCACTGTGCCTGGCCTGTTTGTCCATTCTCTCAGCCACAAATCCAAAAATTTCACTCACCCTCCCCAAGTAGCTATCCTGATTTGCAGACCAAGTCATTGAATGGGGCCAAGTTCTGACAGGAAAGAACACAGACCTTGGTAAAGTAGCGATACAGGATCAACTGTCAGTGACTTGCCCAGCACATCCTCAACACAACCTGGGGGTTCCCAGCCTTACTTGCAGTCGGAATCACCTGAGGAGCCTGGAAAATATCAATTCCCAGCTGCACCTCAGACCAACTCAGCAGGGATCGGAGGTGACATAAAAGCTCCCAGAGGACAGGAAGCTTACCTAGCAACCTGAAGGAGTCCACAGAAACTCAGTAGCACCTCTACAGGCAGACAAGCAACCTCATCAAGCAGCTCCCTGAGATCACAGATAGCTAAATCAACAAAGATGGGGGAAAAAGCACAAAAGAGATGAAATCGTCAAAGACCAGAACACCTCCTCTCCTTCAAGGGATCACAATGCCTCAACAACATGGAAACACAACATGACTGAGAAAGAATGTGACTAATTGACAGAAACAGGCTTCAGAAGGTGGATAATAAACTTTTCTGAGCTAAAGGAACACGTTCTAACTCAATACAAAGAAACCAAAAACCTTGAAAAAAGGTTAGATGAAATGCTAACTAGAATAACCAGCTTAGAGAAGAATATAAACAGCTTGATGGAGTTGAAAAACAGCATGAGAACTGCGTGAAGCAAATACAAGTTTAAATAGCCAAATCGATCAAGCAGAAGAAAGGATATCAGAGATTGAAGATCAACTCAATGAAATACAAAGAGAAGGCAAGACAAGAGAAAAAAGACTGAAAAGAAATGAACAAAGCCTCCAAGAAATATGGGATTATGTGAAAAGACCTATCTACACTTGATCGGTGTACATGAATGTGACAGGGAAAATGAATCCTAGCTGGAAAATACTCTCCAGGATATTATCCAGGAGAACTTCCCCAGCCTAGCAAGGCAGTCCAACATTCAAATCCAAGAAATACAGAGAACTCCACAAAGATATTCAAGAAGAGCAACCCCAAGGCACATAATCGTCAGATTCACCAGGGTTGAAATGAAGGAAAAAATGCTAAGGGCAGCCAGAGAGAAAGGTCAGGTCACTTGCAGAGGGGAGCCAATCAGACTCACAGCAGATCTCTCCACAGAAACCCTACAAACCAGAAAAGAGTGGGGGACAATATTTAACATCCTTAAAGAAAAGAACTTTCAATCCAGAATTTCATATCCAGCCAAACTAAGCTTCATAAGTGAAAGAGAAATAAAATACTTGGCAGACAAGCAATTACTGAGAGATTTCATCACCACCAGACCTGCCTTACAAGAGCTTCTGAAAGAAACACTAAGCATGGAAAGAAGTACGAGCCACTGCAAAAGCACACCAAAGGGCAAAGACCAAAAATGCAATGAAGAAAATGAGTCAACTAACGGGCAAGAAAATCAGCCAGTAACAACATGGCAGGATCAAATTCACACATAACAATATTAACATTGAATGTAAATGGCCTAAATGCCCCAATCAAAAGACACAGACTGGCAAACTGGATAAAAAGTCAAGACCCATCAGTGTGTTGTATTCAGGAAATCCGTCTCACATACAAAGACACATAGACTCAAAATAAAGGGATGGAAGAAGATTTACCAAGCAAATGGAGAACAAAAAAAAGCAGAGGTTGCAATCCTAGTCTCTGATAAAACGGACTTCAAACCAACAAAGATCAAGAGAGACAAAGAAGGGCACTACATAATGGTAAAAGGATCAATACAACAAGAAGAGCTAACTCTCCTAAATATATACACACCCAACACAGGAGCACCCAGATCCATAAAGCAAGTTCTTAATAACCTAAAAGGAGATCTAGACTCCCACACAATAATAGTGGGAGACTTCAACACTCCACTGTCAATATCAAATAGATGAGCAAGACAGAAAATTAACAAGGACATTCAGGACTTGAATGCAGAGCTCAATCAAGCGGACCTAATAGACATATACAGAACGCTCCACCCCAAATCCACAGAATCTACATTTTTCTTAGTACCACATCGCACTTACTCTAAAAGAGACCACATAATTGGAAGCAAATCACTCCTCAGCAAAGGCAAAAGAACAGAAATGATAACAGTCTATCAGACCACAGCACAATCAGACTAGAACTCAGGATCAAGAAACACACTCAAGCCCGCACAACCACTTGGAAACTGAACAACTTGCTTCTGAGTGTCGACTGCATAAACAATGAAATAAAGGCAGAAATAAAGATGTTCTTCAAAACCAATCAGAATGAAGACACAAATTACCAGAATCTCTGGGACACCTTTAAAGCAGTGTCAAGAGAGAAATTTATAGCAATAAATGCCCAAATGAGAAACAAGGAAAGATCTAAAACTGATACCCTATCATTAAAATTGAAAGAGCTAGCTGAGCAAGATCAAAAACACTCAAAAGCTAGCAGAAGACAAGAAATAAGTAAGATCAGAGCCAAACTGAAGGAGAGACACAAAAAACCCTTCAAAAAAAAAAAAAAAAAATCAATAAATTCAGGAGCTGTTTTTTTTTTTTTTAAAAAAAAGATCAACTAAATAGACCACTAGCCAGACCAATAAAAAAGAAAAGAGAGAAGAATCAAACAGATGCAATAAAAAATTATAAAGGGGATATCACCACTGATTCCAGAGAAACACAAACTACCATCAGAGATTACTACAAACAGCTCTATGCACACAAACCAGCAAACGAGGAAGAAATGGATAAATTCTTGGACATTTGTACTCTACTAAGACTAAACCAGGAAGAAGCTGAAACCCTGAATAGATCAATAACAAGGGCTGAAGTTGAGGCAGCAATCAATAGCCTACCAACCAAAAAAGTCCAGGTCCAGACCAGTTTACAGCAGAATTCTATCAGACATACAAAGAGGAGCTGGTTCCATTCCTTCTGAAACTACATTAAATAAGACAAAAAGAGGGAATCCTCCCTAACTCATTTTATGAGACCAACATCATCCTGATACCAAAACCAGGCAGAGACTCAACTAAAAAAGAAACCTTCAGGCCAATATCCATGATGAACATCGAGACAAAAATCTTCAATAAAATACTGGCAAACCAACTGCAACAGCACATCAAAAAGCTTAACCACCATGATCAAGTATGCTTCATCCTGGGGATGCAAGACTGGTTCAACACATGCAAGTCTATCACATAAATGGAACCAAAGACAAAACCACATGATTATCTCAATAGAGGCAGAGAAGGTCTTTGACAAAATTCAACAGCCCTTCATGCTAAAAACTCTCAATAAACTTGGTATGGACGGAACGTATCATAAAATGATAAAAGCTATTTATGACAAACCTACAGCCAATATCATACTGAACAGGCAAAAGCTGGAAGAATTCCCTTTGAAATCAGGCACCAGACAAGGATGGCCTCTCTCACCACTCCTACTCAATATAGTACTGGAAGTTCCAGCCAGAGCAATCAGGCAAGAAAAAGAAATAAAGTGTGTTCAATTAGGAAAGGAGGAAGTCAAATTGTCTCTATTTGCAGACGACATGATTGTATACTTAGAAGACCCCATCGTCTCAGCCCAAAATCTTCTCAAACTGATAAACAACTTCAGCAAAGTCTCAGGATACAAAATCAATGTGCAAAAATCACAAGCATTCCTATATACCAATAACAGACAAAAAGAGAGCCAAATCAAGAGCGAACTACCGTTCACAATAGCTACAAAGAAAATAAAATACCTAGAAATACAACTAACAAAGGATGTAAAGGACCTCTTCAAGGAGAACTACAAACCACTGCTCAAGGAAATGAGAGGACACAAACAGATGGAAAAACATTCCATGCTCATGGTTAGAAAGAATCAATATTGTGAAAACGGCCATACTGCCCAAAGTAATTTATAGATTCAACACTATCCCCATCAAGCTACCAATGACCTTCTTCACAGAGCTGGAACAAACCACTTTAAACTTCATATGGAATCACAAGAGAGCCCACATAGCCAAGACAATCCTAAGCAAAAAGAACAAAGCCAGAGGCATCACATTGCCAGACTACCACAAGGCTACAGTAATCAAAACAGCATGGTACTGGTACCAAAACAGAGACATAGACCAATGGAACAGAACAGAGGCCTCAGAAGCAACACCATACATCCACAATCATCTGATCTTTGACAAACCTGAGAAAAGCAAGCAATGGGGAAAGGATTCCCTGTTGAATAAATGGTATT